CCCCCCCCCCCCCCCCCCCCCCCAGGACCATGCCCTGAGAGCCCCAGAGGGACACGTCTACAACGACGGCCAGTACTCCAAGGCCCTTCTCCACCCGGCCAAAATGGTGTCCAACATCATGGATACTCAGCTCTGTCCCCATGTGAGTATCTTTGTTGATTCGCTGAGATGGTATCTCAGTGGAAGTATCTTTGTTTATTTGGGAAGTATCTTTGTTTTATTCGCTGTTTATTCGCTGAGATGGTATCTCAGTGGAAGTATCTTGGTTTATTCGTTGTTTATTCTCTGAGATGGTGTGGTATCTCAGTGGAAGTATCGTTGTTAATTCGCTGAGATGGTATCTCATTGTGAGTATCTTTGTTTATTCGCTGTTTATTCACTGGGATGTATCGTTGTTTATTCGTTGAGATGGTATCCCAGTGTAAATGTCTTTTTTGTTTATTTGCTGAGGTGGTATCCCAGTGTGAATATCTTTGTTTATTCGCTGAGGTGGTATCCCAGTGTGAATATCTTTGTTTATTCACTGAGGTGGTATCCCAGTGTGAATATCTTTGTTTATTCGCTGAGGTGGTATCCCAGTGTGAATATCTTTGTTTACTGGCTGAGATGGTATTTATATAACATAACTAATACAACCATAAAACAAAATGTAATGTGTTAAATGCAAGGTGATGTGTAGGACTTACCAGTTTTTGATTAGATTTCACGACATTACAAAGTGTGTTCCCATTTTTTTTTTAAGCAGCTGTATAAAATTTGACCTGTTTTTGTTTTGTGCTGTTATATATGTGATCTTTTATCTCCCCCCCCCCCCCACCCCTTAAGCCCCTCCTCCCCACCCCTGACTTTTTAAAAGATCTAACATAGATTGCAAGTTTTGGATTCCTTCATCAATGTTACAGAGGTAGCACAGTGTAGGAAATATTGAAGATTGCCCACCCCTGTAGCTGATGCTATCTCTGTCATAAGCAATCCACGGAAGTCCAAATTTTAAAGAATTTTAAAATATTTTGACACCCTCTCAAAGCTCTGTCCAAGAAACTCCTTTCAACATCTCAAAAATACAGTTTAATTAATGCGACAGTCAAGGCTTACAATTTTCCTGCATTTCATGATTCCTGATAGGAACAACACAACAAAAACTAGTTGCTTTTTGTTGTTGTTTTTTAAATTTGGGGGGGGGGGGGGGTTGGTCTCTCATTCTCTCATGTTAAGAGTACCTACCTACCCTCCCAAATGGACTGAAGTGGATTGCTTGAGACACCGACAATATAACTGGTCTCTTTTAAGGACAAGCGGGCTAACCTACATTTCGGAGGTTTCCAGAAATCTTGACTTCCTCCAAAAGTGGACATTTCCCTACCTATAGGAGAAGTTTGGTTTCATTGGTGTGTATATTTGTTTGGTTATAGAGAAAATTCTCCTTGTCTTTTAAAGAAACTGAACAAGGGTCCACAACTTTACCTTCGATTTTCTCAAAACAGCATTTTTTGGGATATATTATAGCCTCCTTCTGCTTAAAAGCGACCAGTTGATAGTGCCTCCTTGAGTCTTTGTAGCTTGTGAAGCTCTTGACATCCCCCCGGGGCATTGTCGCTGACTGAAGTGTCTTTAGGCCATTCCCAAAGGGGGGGGGCATTTCTCGTTCAGGCATAGTAGAATTGTAAATGGGCTGATTCATCAATGTCACGTTCATAACTGTGCCTGATCTACAACAGGGAACTGCTGCTTTTTCTTTCCTAATCCTTACTCTCGTCATTTTCCTCTACTTCTTTTGTGTGTTTGTCACACTCTTGTGACCCGCTATTTCCGAGGTGCCTTGAAAGTCGAAGCAGACTTTGTGCTGTTGAAGCTAGAGAGATGAGCAGAGTAAGCCTGATTCCCTGTAAGGACTTCGCTGTTGACACCCACCCCTTGGCGCTCATATGACCTTATGCAGTTGCGAGTGCCGTAAAACCTCTACTAAATTATTTTTTTAAAAAGAAATAAAAGAAGCTCTTGATTGAACTTTGATTGTGCAGGTACATTTACCGCATTAGATCCAACTGGTAAGACAAATGTTTGCCGCATGGGTGACATGTTCTGGTCCGAGTTTGCTTGTTTGTCTTTTTTTTTTTGTCAGGCTTGACCGAACTCTTTGACCTTTGGTCAGTTTGAGGGTTTCTGTCCTGTTCAGGATAAGACTTTAATTTTTTTCCTGTTTTTTTTTCTTTCTTTTTTTCCTAAACTCTCTTGTTTCTCTACCCATCTTTCTCACAGTCTCTCTTTCTTTCTCTTTATCTCTCTCTCTCTCTCTCTCTCTCTCTCTCTCTCTCTCTCT